AACCAGAGACCTGCAAACATCATGCACAAAGAATACCTGAATTCTCTCTGCAAGTATGTTAAGCCCATAGATCTCTGCAGCTCGAGCACTAGCAATGACACCAGCATCCCTAAGGTTATTTGAGGCTACATGCTAACCATTGTTAAGCTAGTTAAATTAGAAACAATAAGCTATTTAATGGGAAAAAAACAATGCAATATTCTTAGCTGGCATGAGAGATGCTGGTGCATCTTCATCAAGTTAGTTGTCATAAAGACAAATCTAGAGAAAATACCTGGGCGGCAATGGCTGCGTCATCCACACTTTCCCGGACAACATCCAGTTGACTCAGGAAAATATCACTTAGGGCAAGTGCCTGCAAATAATAACATCCTATTAAATATAAAAAAGGTAGACTTTGAAATTTTGATCTACAGCAATGGTGCATTCTGCTACACATGGTAGAGTGTATGGAAAATAAATAATGTGCAGAGTCATGCATGACAAAGCAATAGCTGAAAATCTAGACACAACCTAATGAAAAGATAAAGATACAGACTGTTTGACAGGGTGATGCCACTTTAAATAAAGCAAGTTTTATGCATGCTTTTGACATAAAATAAAACTCACACAATGGAAATTAAAGGAAGTTAGGAATGAATATCTGACCTGTGGATGGCTTAGAACACGCTTTAACTGCTCAGCATGGACACCAGGCAAAGCCAAAAGGCAGAAGCTAACAGCCAGTTGCACCTCACCAACTATGTGAAGCCTATGCCGAAGCAGTAAGTCGTAGTTTCGATGGATGCTTCCCCCAGAAGAATTCTCAATTGGAAGCACTGCCTTATCAGCCAACCATAATTCAACTGCCTGCCCATTTGTACCCCAGAGAGAAAAAAAAAACAAAAAATTAATAGTAGCCAGGATCAGCACATCAGCTTATAATCCTAAGAGTAGCTATGAAGAATTCATTTTATGGGATTGAGTCATTCCTGGAAAATCAGATTCATCAAAATGAGAACAGAATCTAGCATATCAAAGAAATTAAAGTAGGTTTTTCAAAAACGATTAAAATAACATCGGATGACGGACTCCCTAAAAAAATGTCCTATCTCTGTCTAAGATTATCATAAAAACAATGAATTCAAACCTTAAATGCATCTTCAAATTCATCACAGGGTACTGTTTCACAATTCGGATAGGCTTTGAGTGCAGCATCCTCAGCGTAAGAACCAGAAACCCCCTGCAAAAGGATTCACTCAGTAAGTAAAAATCATTCAAAACAAAGTCAACGACAATTTCTCCTAAATTCTAATCCTTTAATGAACACAGAAAGGTAGCAATCCCAACTTTACCTTAAATGATATCCGCACCTTCGAACCATCATTGGAAGCAACCGATAAATCAGCTACAGTTAATGGTCCTGCAGTTAGTCGGTAAACTGAGTCAAACAAGATTGCATACTATACGAAATTCAAATGAAAACCCACCATCAAACTCATGAAAGAAGCAAAAACCAAGTAAAGATAAAAGATTGAAGGAAATAAAAAAATGCCCACTTGGAAGGGAGTTCAAATCCTTGTTTAGTTTCCTGGAGACATCATTATCCGAATCGGGAATAGCTCCACTTAATTCATTAGCAGCTTTTGGTTTTACCGGATTGTCATCTTCGACGGACCTTATCGTCGTCTTTCCAAGTGAAAACCCACCCCCAGAAAAACCCAAGTTGTGCACTCTATTTGAAGCGGTAAAGCGATTAAAGGGCAACCCAGATGAGTGGTTCCATCGATGATAAGGGTGCAAATAAAAAGACCTGAGATTCAAAGCCATGAAAGAAATATAGCAGTCAATGAAAATGAAGGATGGTTTCGTTTCTGGATCATGGAGAAGCAAGAAAACGGAGGTTTGGTGGGGTTTGGGATGAAGCGGCATTCAAAGTGAAGTAGGTAGACAAGGCGAACTAGAAAATTAGCCCCTATACTCTGTGTTTAGTTGCAAATCAACCCCTATACAAATTTACTAGTAAGATGCTTACCCTTGAACTTGTCCAATAGTTGCACTAAATTTTTCTGTTTGGATTTTATTGTTTCATTTTTAATAAAATTGCTCTGATTTAACCCCTTTATTTTTTTTAATAAGATATTAAATGTTGATATTTAATTTTATCCACATCTCTAGAGGGATAGAAATGCATTAGTAATTTTATTATAAAAATAAAGGTGAAAATAAAAAAAGAAGTCTTAATTGTTGTAATAAATAAATCTCTTAGATAAGATAACTAAATTTAATTAATAAGAGTATTTTATTTTCACAAAACATCGATATTTATTTGTTGCAAAGAAATACAATTTTGTAATAACTTTTTTCAAGGTATTGATTTTATTCTTCTCTTTGAATTTGAATTTCAGTTATTGAAGGTATGAAATTGGGTATTTATTCATTTTCCTAATTTTCTTTGCACTTCAATATATTATATTTCTTCTTGCCTTTTTTTTTTTTCATTTTGGTTTCTTAAACTTTCATCCTAAATATTTTATTTTCCTTCAAATTCATCCAACCATAAAGTCGTTGGAAGCCTCTTCTTTGTTCGAATTTTTTTTGGTGCACCTGCCACACTGCTTGCAGGCTTGGGCTAACCCAACCCAATCCATAACCCATGTGCAGATGTGGTACTTAACAAAACCCAAACTTGTGTTCGAAAACGAGAGGAAAATCGCTCACCTATCTTCCCCTCCACACAGATTTTCCATATTTGGATAATTCCATGAATTATCCATCCGCTTCTATTTTGTTTTCTCGCCATAGATTCTCTTCCCAACCATACTGTGCCCGCTAAACCCAGGGAGAAGCCATGTTCATAAAGCTCTCCTCCTCCAGACCTTCTCCTTCTTTATGGTTTTTCAGTAGATTATCCAATTCAAAGCCGCCTTTACTTGACCACGCCTTGAAACCCAAAGCCCTTTTCTCAAAATCTCCTCTGTCTTCTATTTGTTGCTCTTTTTCTTCAACAACCGTTGGTTTTCAGTGCAAGAACCGGTTTTTCTACCAAAAGGGTTGCTACCCTCTTTTGCAAAGGCTTGATTTCAAGACACAGGCTGGTCCTGGATTTGATTTTGGTGGTGTTGAATCTGTTTTGGAGGCAGCTGCTGTGTTGACTGCTATTGTTGTGGTTCATGAGGGTGGGCACTTTCTTGCTGCTTACCTCCAGGGAATTCATGTAAGTAAGTTTGCAGTTGGGTTTGGTCCTATTCTAGCTAAATTCAATGCAAACAATGTAGAGTATTCTATTAGAGCTTTTCCTTTAGGTGGATTTGT